CAAACCCAAATAAAACACAGACAATTATCCTGAGTTATGTGTGTATCTTGTATCTATTCACCTTTTCCTGTTATCATATTAACACAAAAATGAGGTAATATTGCTCATCTGAAACTAATACTATGAATAATTTAACATAATATGCTTTATTTCAAAATAGTGGTGTCTATAGTTTGTATCTTGAAGTCTCTGCAACTTAGCTGACCTCCAGGAAGATCCTTACAAATGCTGCCAACATTTTAGAAACTTCTTTGAAGTCCAACAATGGGCTTTTGCATATATCTACCAGTAGGTGGAGCAGACAACATAATTTATTACCCAGGAACAAGGGCAAAAGAATGAATGTCAGTGTACTCCGAATAAAACAGATCTGCAAATGAGATTTTCTTCAAAGGAAATATGCCCTGTATATGTTGGATTTAGTTTGACTGATCACTGAATCAAAATAAATAACTTTATTAAATAATCAATCTTTGCAGAAAGATAAATTTACACATGGTGGCAATGCTTGGGTTTTACTTTATTCAAATGAACTGAAATTACTTTTCCTTTCAAAAAACTTTTACAGGGACAAAGATTTTTTTTCTTACGTGTTCTTTTAATAAGGGCGCTAAACCCAATCCTGTTCTACAGGTGATGGAGTGCATAACAAGCAGTATTTTCTTGGAGATATAATTGACTAATCTTATTATGTCTGTGGCAACAAATTAACCTTATTACTACTAGCAAATGGTGATTGATTATTTATGCAAATAAGTTACCAGGTTGAGCTTTCTGATTGAAATAAACATATACAAAAGGTGCTTTAATACAACTTGAACTTTTTAATTAATAAAACCCTGAGGGGTCTATTAGTTCACTCATTGCAATATTAGTTATTTACTTGTGTAATTCCTATTAGCACAAACATATTTGCTTGAATAAAGATGAGATAATTAATACCAATAAAAATCAGTAATAGTTTTTGAAACTATTTTAAGACATACATTAGATTTGTATTAAAATAGGCTTAATGCTGACTTTAAAATTGCTATTAACATACATCAACATACAAGAATAATTTTTCAAAAATTATTTATGTATTAAGTAATAATACATAATCTCATTTATTAACCATCTCTGAATTTAACAAAAAATTGGCTTCTAAAATTCTTTACTTTTGTAAAAGCATTGTTTGTCTAAATTAATTTTGTATTTCTACTTACTTAAAGTTAAGCTACATAAAAGCAAGGAGAATTAATGATATAGTTCCTAAATTGTTGAAGCTTCCAATAAAATGACATTTTATTTGCTAAAAAAGCTAGAGATTTTTTTCTTTTAAGGAGGGCAATCAAACTTTTTGGACTCATAATTTTCATAAGATTTACATTTAGACATTCATTAGTCTTTGAGAGTTCCTACAGATACAAGTTAAAGTTAAAAGAGATATGTCTTTTAAAATCAATAACTTTTTGGCTAAGGATGTGGCTTAATGGTAGACTGGTTGCCTACATGCTGTGAGGTCCTGAGTTCAATTCTTCAGTACCACATTAAAAAATCATTTTTTATTTTACACTTCAGTGTTTTTATTTTTTTGTTTTTATAAAGGTTATGTACCGAGGGATTACAGTTACACAAGTCAGGTAATGAGTACATTTCTTTTTGGACAATGTTACTCCTACCCTCAATTGCTCCCAGTTTTTCCCTTCCATATCAAACCACAAGTTGTATAGTTCATTTTCAGCATAGTGAATACCACTGTTGCATTCACTGTTAATGTAATTTGAAATCAATGTTCATAAAATAAGCAACAAACTTAATCTAAACAACAGTATAGAGGAACACTTTTCTTGAGTAATTTCTTAAGAAAAAAATTATATCTTCAATTTAGTGTCTACTCAAAAGCCAAGACACTCTAAGAAAATGAAGTGTGTTTCTTTTTCACTGAATCTCTCTTAGCTTAGGGAAACTAAAAATTTTTTTTATTAAATAGAACAAAGTAGCGCATCATATCAGTAAAATCATAAATATAAATGTTAATTTCATTGACATAGCTTCTATATGCTGTAGTAGAAGCTAGCAGTTCTCTTTTATTTTAAAAAGTTGCTTGACCATAGGCTGAATGTAGGGAGAATATGCCTGTGTCTAAGCCTCACGTTGCATATATTTATACTAAATTTTGAGCATGTTATCTGCAGAAATCAACAGATTAAGATCTATATCCACTTTGGCTTAGATAGTTATAGCTTGCCATTGTGACTCATAATAGTTTTAAAATTCGATATCATAATAAAAATACTGATTTAAAGCTAAACAATGCAAATTGGTTGGCAATATAAGTTATAGAATATGTGAATTTTCCAGTACTATCTGAACAAAATGGACAGAGCAAAGTAGATGATGTCACTACTAAATTTAATCACCAAAAAAATGGAAGTGTCTCTTTTCTCCCTGTATTCACAGGGTTGTCCTTGTATATCTACACATACTTTGTGGTTGAATATTAGTTCACTACAACAATGTATACTGACTCATCAGGGCCAGTTAAAATCTTATGTTTTTGTGCTACTATTCTCCAAGGGAAAGTGACTGGACAGACTTTCACCTGTAATACCCTGACCTATATGAAGCCAGTGTGAACTGGAGGTGGTGGGAACTAATATATAGACGCTGGTATGAACTCATCATTAGTTATCATTAGCTATCATTAATAATTAAGAGTAAGAAAAGAAGAGAAATGAGAAAATGAATGCTTCTAATAAGTTAAACTAATAGAAAGCAGAAATATAGAATATTAGCTTTTGCTTGGCAAGTTAGCTAAATGTTCTTGTTGTCATTTACTGAATGTCTTTCTAAGGGCCTGGCACAATATAAAGATATTACATTTAATCCTCATAATTTTTATTATCATAGGATTCATTGTCTCACATGTAGAGTGAAACAGAGGCTCAGAAAACTCAAAGTAATCTTACACTATGTGGGAGAGCTGGGGTACAAATTCAGCCTAGTCTGATTATAACATCCATTTTCTTTTCGTCTTACTATACTGCCTCAACATTAATCATTTTAATGGATGACAGCAAATTCTGGAGATGAGGGATCACAAAAGCAAGGTTTGCATACTTCTGAAAGTCAGCGTCAATGGAGGAAATGGAAGCAGCACTCATTGGGCTCGTTAACACAAACATGTGGAAACTCAAAAGTACCAGTATCTGAAAACTCATTGGAAGGCTATGAGTCCACTCTCCTCCTCTGATGCATAAATTTGCCTAAACAGTTGCTTAATTTTAAGACTAAAATGAAATCAAAATAGTTAAAGAAATAATATATGTAAAGTCTCCGTGATAGACTCTGGCTATGTCTATTACATTATTTTTGCTAGCAAAACTTAGAGGTTTGATTTGTTTGTTGATATATATATATATATATATATATATATACATATATATATATATATAATTAAGGATTTTTGGTACTAGGGATCAAATTCAGGGCTTCAGGCATGCTAGGTAAATGATGTACATTCTCAGACCTTTATTTTTTTATTTTTATTTTCATCTCTGTGTGGAATGAACAAATACTCCAGTTAACAGGATTTCAGCACATTTTCTTTCTTTATTGCTTTCTCTAGTTCACCACTTCGCCTAAGTATAAATAGCACAACTAAAATTAAGATTAAGAAACAGTCAAAGTGTCAAGAGGTTTTGGCATGATCAAATTTAACAACTGCACCCTAAGGAATATATTATCAACTTGAAAGAATTAACAGTATTAATAGTCTTCTTAACTTTGTCAAAATAGAAATTAATCATAGGTTGGGAGAGAAAAAAATTGCTAAAAAGGAATTCTTGATGTGAATTCTAGATAAAATCAGAGCTCATCAATTTTACAAGTAAAATTCTACATTGCAACTCATATTAAAAGATTTTTCTTGCCTCTTAATACTAAAATTAATTTCAAATTATTGTCAATTTCAGTAAAAAAAAAAAAAAAGTTGGCTTGAGTGCCAGAGCTACGTCTGCTAGCTTTGTGTTTGTAAAGACAGCCGCGTTTGCTTCCTTATCTGCTAGATGAAAGTAACTGAATGATAGGGATCAAAATCATTACCACCATTAGCCTACCAAGTGTGGATCAAGGTGCTGGAAAAGAACTTTCCAAGCAAGCACGAGCTTTCTACTTACTGAACTCCTGTGTTTGAATATCTCTAAGAACACATTCAGTCTTGAGTCACTCTGGCACTCACTTGGAGTAGCCCAGCCCTGAAGATACCTGACCTTATGACTCTGGCTAGAACTATGGCACTGGAGTTGGAGGTTTATGAGAAAAATATATAAGTCTGGAATTGCTAGCTCTGGTTAGAACTCTAGTAACAAAACACACATCAACCCCTAACTCCAAGTATTTTAACCATATTTCTCTGTAGGCAGAACAGTCTAGAGTGGATGCTTTCTTAGCAATCATGATGAAATCTGAGGTATTGACATCTTAGCAGGTGTGAAAGAATAAACATCTAAATCTTTCAGGTTCATATCTGTCGTTCTATATGAACATGTAATTGCAGAATCCATTTCTTTACAAGCTTTACCTGAAAACTCCCATCAAAATTTGAAGCAGGGCAAAAGACTGGTTTCAATCTCAACATTCACTCAATAGAGGAAACATGAAAGCCGCCCCTGCTTACTATTAATTTGCTGTGCATGATCCACTCGCCACACAACACTAAGCCCCTGGGGATAAGCGTAGAGAGTGAGTTGAGCCCTCAGTGTTGTGGCATCACGGTGGTGCACCTCACTGCGGGCTTAGGCCTCTCTGCCAGCATCTTCGCAGCGGCTGCCTATACGAAGAGGCTGTGCGCAGAGCCGTGGTACCCATGCACCTAGCCAGGAGCAGGCGATTGGACTGAAGTAGTGTCTTTGCGGTCTCTTTGCAACAAGTCATGTCTCACTCGGGCTGCTAGTTTATCTCTGTCAGGCTAGGGGCCCAAGTGGCTTCCGGGAGCTGTCAGGAATAGGCAGACCAACCTGCTTTGTGCTGAGGAGGTAATGCATCTTTCGGGCTTGGTAATTTCTCTCCTTCTCTTCCTTCTCGATGGCAGCCTTCCTCTCCTCTTGTTCTTTCATCTCTGCAAACTCCTCCAGGGCCTCCCTGCATCAAAATCATCTGCGGTTATTTCTGACACTATCTGATGAAATTCTAATTCTGTCTCTGATGATTATCAAGTTTTGGGAGGGCAACCGCCACCACCACGTCCATCATCAGCAGTGCAATCTATCTTACCGGTGTATTTTATGTGAAACTTTGCAATCTTCAGAAAGCATTTAAGTGATTTGCAATGAATGAGTTTTTAGAACTCCAGTGCCTATACATTAAAATTAATTCAGTAATAGTGCAAAGTAAGTGACTTGCTACATTAGCAGTTTTATAGTTAAAGATTTAGCTATTTGGAAATACATATTCCAAGGAAGCACTTGAACCACGGATTTCCTTTAAACTTTGGTTTTATACATACAAATCTCTCCTTATTTTGTATATCTATTAACAGGATAATCTTGAAGTATAGATACTGTATAGATGCTTAATTGATTGCAAGTTTACTTAACAGTTAAAATAAGACCAATACAAGATATCATTTAGTATTCAACATTTAAAAGGCTGACATAGTGCCCAATTGCACAGATAATTAACATTAAAGATTAAATGAGTAAGTTGAAGCATTTTTTCAGGTATGACAAATTGCATTGCTAGAATGACAATTTCTTTATCATTTATGTGTGCCTAAAATGTAAACAAAATAGGATTTTAAATGAACGATGCAAAAAACAGATTATATTCTCAAATACGGAAAATTAACTAATCCTTTATTTTCATAGGACAAATTTAACTATCCATGTCAAAAGTGTATCTCTTCTATGAGTAAAAATTTAGTAAATCATCTGAGCATTTTCCTCAAATGTATCAGGGAAGTGTAGAAAAAAGTATTCCAAAATAAATAGATTCTCATTTCCAGTTCAAGAACTAGAAATATATATTTTTGTAATTTTCTGTAGAGGCTACTAATACAGTACTTCCCACAAGGTTACTTATGAAACACATTGACGTTTAAAAATCACCAGGTTATGCTATTGCAGCACAGCAATTTTTTTCAACATAAGATTAAATTGCAAAATAAATGAATTACTTGGAGTGGCATGGCCCCCATTTTGCCACCCTTCTCTTGAAAATTGCTTATTAATATGAAAAAAGGAGCCCGAAAATAGCCTGATTTACTTTATGCATAGTATTTAGGGGGCTTCTGAACACCTAGAGCTCAGCTAACTGTACATTTAGATTGTGTTGGCAAGCTGGTGCCATGACCTTTTTGACCTGCATCTCAAGGCTATTATTAATCGCTAAGTAACCTGGTAAAGCCAAACAAATTTGTTTCCATTGAAAGGATCTCTATCTGTGTCTGAGAATTTGTTCCCTACCAAACAAACCTCATTTAACTGTGTCCATTTTTGACAAAGAACCAGGAGTTAGAGGAATTGGTGACCTTTCTTTGTTTGTAAGGTACAGATTTCAAGGCAGTTACATATGAACAAATGGGAAATTTTACCAGGAAAAATACAATCAATCACAGGTTACGTTAAAAAGTGACTCCACTGTTAATTTTAATCTTTACTTTTGATATTAAAGTAAAAATAAACATCTTCAATAATTCCTCTTATTCCCTTTTAACATAATGTAGAATAACAAGTGAACTTACCAATAATCTTTGTGTGTGTGTGTGTGTGCGTGTGTGTGTGTGTGTGTGTGTGTGTGTGTGTGTGTGTGACCTGTCCCGGGTAACAAATCACTGAATGACAGCATAGAATTAAAAATCTCTAGACTTTCAGATTTTCTAGCACCAGACAGGCTGTAGTCATTTCAACATAAGGAACATGCAGCTGATAATTTCTATTGATTTTGCCAGGCATATTCCCTTTTATCTTTCTTGGACATTTTTCATAGGTTTCATCGTGATATTTCCATGCATGTGTATAATGTACTGTGGTCATGTCCGCTTCCCATTAGCCCTCTTCATTTATATTATGACCCTGAGATCTCCTATGTGAAAATCCCAAGACTTTCTACATCATTTTCATTCTCTATTGTAGTTATAAGCTGCGTTGTTAATTGCAACTGTTTTGTACAACTACCTAATGATAATAATAAAAAAAAGAATTTGGTTACCCCACAAAAATATTTTGTGATATCAGTTTAAAATTATAGAGCAATCACCACTGTAATTTCACCAATATTATCTATTTTAAAATATATTTTATTTATAACATTTATTGTGGTAATAATATATCTTTATAGTCTAAGGATAGTAGCACTAATAAAAATAATAGTACCTACTAGGAAGCAATATAATGGCTCCTTAAAAGATACCTGGTTATAAATGCTTTGCTGTGCTACTTACTGTTTAACCTAGGTGTGACATATACTTATTTCTGCAAAATTATTACATGCAAAATTATTCACATACTATCTTTTTCCTCAAGCTACTGCGAGGATCAAATGGTTAAGCTATGTAAATACTCAAAGTTGTAATTGGTTAAACAGTAAAGAGCTACCTAGGCTCTAACAGTTTATAAACATTTACCATAAGCTAAGAACTAGGCTACTACAAATCTTTCATGCTTTTCCTAGCTCTATTGATGATAATCTGATGAATGTAGACTTTGTGGCAGAGTATGGCATCTAGTTTCCTAAGAGACATTGGGCACAATACAAAACCTTGGTTAGTGAGGAAGGAGAGACAGGAAAAAGCATGCAAATGAATTTCATTTTTCTCTGTCCTTCACAAAGTACTTACTCTGAGGAGTGGTTTCACCATGCAAACCTAGGGGGAAAAATTTGTAGCTACCAGTAGTATTGGATGCTGTCTGAGACTCAAAGCTAGGTCTCACTTGGGAAAATCAGCCATCCTGTGTTACCTCTTCCTCAGGCTGCATCTCATGACTGGGAGTTTGAAGGGGGACACATAGCCAGATCCTTTGGCTTCCCCTGGGATGACTCTCAAGGGCCATTCCAATCTCTGAGCTTCTTGAGATTGAGTGAAGTCACTGATAAAGCCCAACTTCCTTTACCCTTGTCCTGCTTTTCCATAAAGATATTGACAAAAATGCTCTCCAATAAACTCATCTATCAAATCACTGCCTGATAGCCTTTCCCGTTTAGGGCAGTGTACCCTCTCTTTTCCTCACTCTCCTTGCCTTGGTCTTATACCACCAAAAATGACGTAAAACTTTAATTACTGACTTATGGTTTGCTTTGAAATGGTTCCTAGCTGTGACATTTACATTGCTTCATTTGGTACTTTTACAATATCATTAACTGCATTCACAAGTCAGGAAACTAGAGTCACAGAGTTTAGATGTCATCCAACCCCCCCCCCAAACTTAAATTTGGATCCAGCTCTGACTCCAAAATCTATGCAATGCTTAAATTACACATTTTGGCTAAACTAGTATTTTATTTAGATATCAATAGGACTTCTCGTTTTGAGAAGTGTATTTTTGAGAATATTTTAGTAACTTTTATTTTTCTAAAACATACAAAGAGAAAAAAAGCTTTTCCACCTGGGAATAAGTTAAATAACCTTTCACATCGCATTATATAACAACATTATCTATGTGTGACCACGAAATGTGAAATTTTCATTTATAGCAACAAGTCTCCCTTTGTTAAGCTGTACTTGCTATTTTTTGAGCAAGTAGGGAATGCTAGTGTACATTACATAAACCCATAAAAAGAAACTGGAACTGAAAAAATGCTTAAAAGATTGTTGGCACAATGCAAATAACAATCACTCCCACAGGGTATGTGGACCAGCCCCTGCTCACCTCTCCTCCCACTACCCACCACACCATCTCAAGCTAACCATGCTTGGTCACAAGGTCCCTTTCATGTCCCAGCTCACCATTTTTCTAGCTCGAGAACTCACTTCTATTGTATTGCCTGCCTTGGCATTCCTTTAGTGGAGACTCAGTTCTCCTCCCACTGGTCTTCTCATTCATAACACTACAGTTTTGGTTTCCCCATAAAAGTTGACAAAATTTATAACCATATACTTATGAATATATCTACTTACTTAGTGTCTCCCCACTAGGTTTGAACTCCATAAAAATAATACTTCATTTGTTTCTCATGTTTATTTGAATGAACAGGAAAGATTTTATTAACATAGATAGTCCTGAGTAGTAGGACCATTGTGCCTGCTATAAACTGTTTTAAATAATTAACAATTAAATAATTAATTTATGCTTTCTTACACTGCGTAATTGTGTGTGTGTGTGTGTGTGTGTGTGTGCACGTGCGCGCAAGCGCCCACACACTTGTCTTGAACTCGGGGCCTTGAGCTTGTTAGGCAAGTGTTTACCACTTGAGTCAGATTGCCAATCCTGACTTTTTAAGTTGTTTCTTGAGTTTTCCTAATTTCTGAGTCATTGAGAAATGTTTCTAGAACTTTTTTAGAAAAGAATCCTGCCCCAAATTAAATTATTTCCACAAACAAATCATCCTAAATATGAAAAATACTTAAACTCCCAATGACATTTAATATGCAATATCTAGCATTATATGTAAATAACTGGAGTCTGTACAGTTGAATTTCATTCAGTAGAGTAATTAAAAGCTTTCTTCACGATAATAAACCCTCAGCAAGATGGCTGCCCATGCCACAGAAAAGGGAGGTATCTATTTATTTAGTGTTAAACAGAGAATCTGTACTTAAAATTTTTTACTTCTTTACAAGGTCAGAATCCAAAAGCAAAAGCCTTTACCCTTTCTTGTAAGAAGGCTTTTTAGATCCCCTCACAACAATAACTCATCACTAGCTGTTACCACTCTTATAATAGTATATTTCTAATTTACAGCTCTAATATATTTTATAATGTATGATAGCTATACAGATGCATACATACATTTCTGTTGCTCCCTGTCCTAAGAGACTAAATGTTTTCATCCCTCCAAAATCATACATATGATGAAGTTTAATTTTCCAAAATCATAGAATTTGGAGGTAGTGGACAGAAGTTAACACATCAGTGTGGCCCCAGTAGTTGAGATTTGTGTCATTATGAGAAAAGACACGAGAGAGATGCAGTCTTTCTTCACCC